TTTTCTTAAAACTGGTCCTGGCTGGGAAGGAAGAAAAAACAATTAGACTGAGATTAATTTCCGAAGGGGAGATTGGGTGAGCAAAACTCCTGTAATCACTGCCCTTGGACAAGGCCTCAGGAAATGTCGTCCCCCCACCCCATTGTTCCGAAAGGACAATGAGACTGACAACCGACCAGAAGGTCAAGAAAAGAAAGGGCTGCCCAGTTATCAGGACAGTTCAGAGGACACGAAAACAATGACACCCTCCTGGCTTTGCTAATAAAGTCATAGGGGACATGATGAGGTTGGCTCTTCGTTTTTATTTATTTATTCTTAGAGCACAGCACATATGAAATATTTAAATCACATCCACTTTTTAGTAATTAATTTGGTTCTGCCTGTCTGCTTCCAGCGTGTCCTGAATTTGATGGGAAACCCGGTTACTAGGCTCATCCCTAACTATCGAAGGACAATCACTGTGCGACTAAAAAGCTTAACATTCCTGGACGATAGACCAGTTTTCCCAAAGGACAGGTAAGGAAGAGAAACACCTTTTGATCATATTTTAATGTACAACAGTGAAGTACGCTTGTTAATTTTTTTAAAAGAAACTCTGATTTTGGAGAATTTTCACACATTGTTAAATATTCTTTAGAAATGTCTCGGGCTACATAATTGTTCATAATAGGAAATTCTCTATTTTTGAGCACTTATTCATAGGGTTGGTTTTTTTTTAATAATCCTTTGATAAATATCTTTGTATATAAGTCTCTGACTTCATTGCTGATTGTTTCCTTAGAACGGAATTCAACAAGTTGTACGATTGGACTAAAGAGTATGGTTTGAGCCCTTTTTGAAGGTGCTTATAAATATTTTCTAACTGTTGTCTAGAAAGCTTGTAACCGTTTATAACTTCACCAGACATTGACATGTAAAAGAAATCTTTGCCAGGTGAACTGAGGAGCGAAGACGGTATCTCCTTTTAAATTTGCATTTCCTGGTAGCTGACGAGGTTGGTCATGTTTTCCATCTTTGTTGGGCATTTATGTTTCCTCCTCTATGAGTCGTCCATTCATGACTTCCTCCCAGTTTCCTTTTTTCGGGCAGTGCTGTGTCTTATTGATTCATGAGAGCTCTTTTTATATGAAGATTATTGGACCCGGGACCGCCATGTATATTGTCATTCCTTTTCTGTATGTTTTTCATTGACGTCACTATTCATTCTAACATAGATTAAAAACCTCAGTAACACAGACAGCTTGAAGGGGGAAGTGCAATCTGAATGTTGAATGATACAACATTTAAAAANCCACCCAAACCCAGAGGTGGGTAGCCAACTGGGCATTTGCCCTAAGAAGCCCATGTTCTTGGAGGCGGTCACTCACAACGACCACAGATGGTTGTGATCATGTTCCTAAGTTTACGCTTCTTCGAAGCTGCCACTTGCTGGCCTGAGCTGACCCATTTCCAGGTGGGTGGCATCTCTGGGCTACTTAGGGCCATGCAGATCTCAGCAATCTTGTTCACCAGGGCTGGGAGCTTGCATTTTTCACCCCCTGGGCCTTTCCAGACCAAGGCTTCTGAGGGAGGGAGGGGACCAGTGACACGACAGCTGGGAATGTGGGACAAAATGAGGATGGCAGCAGGCCTAAGGGTATGGCCCCTTCACAGTGAAGGGCCAGGATCAGGATGGATGACATGCAAGATGGCGCTGGCAGGGAAGGGAGGCTCACCAGGCGGAGAGTGGCCAGAGCAGCTGGCTGGGTGGGACGAATGAAGACACACACTGACAATAGGAGCCCGGGCTGGTGTTGGGGGCCCAAGCACATGACCAGGGACATGCATTTGTGGGGGAAACTGGCTAGTGCTTACTGATAACAAGCAAACTGTAGCTATTTGTTCAGCAACTGCCTTGGGGATCCGAATTGGGGCATCTGCTGAACCTGGACAATTCCTGCTCTTATCCGACACTCCTCAGAAACACTGTCCAGGTTTCTCTCTCAACACAAGCTTTCATGGTTCACTCAAGGCCTGCACATGGGAAGAAATAAGGGGGTGACCACGCTTCCCAAGAATACTGCGTCACCTTTCTTCTTTAGGAAACCACACTGAAAAGGATGGAGAGCTGTCTGAGACAGAGCCCAAGGAGGCTGCGGAGCCAGAGGCAGAGGAGCAGGAGGACATTGAATATGGCTTAGACTGAACCCCGAGGCAGCCCCTCTTCCCGTGGGCTAACAAGAAGCCAGTGCTGATGCAGGTCACCGCCTGGGCTGGGCTCCCCTTTCTTCCTGCGGTTTCTGGGAGTACTCTGGGGCCTTGGCTGGGACGCGTGCCCATCGCACGACTCATCTCTCCTATGCTCTCAGCCTCTCCAAGTGTGGGGCAGCAGTGTTCCCTGTTCTCAAAGCATAACCCATTTCCCCTGGTTATGTGTGCTGTAAACTGTATAACCGTNTATTCAATTATCTTTCTTGCATCTCTTTTCCCCCAGTCTATGGCTTGTCTTCTCATGCTTTTAAGCTTTGCATATTTTTAAATTGTGTTGTATTTGTATTATTAAGTAGTGAAAGTTCTTTATATATTCTAGATACAAGTCCTTTATGAGGGATATGATTTGCAAATACCTTCTCAGATTCTGTGTTGTGTTTTTACTTTGTTTATGGAATTTTTTGTATTACAAATATTTTTAATGTCGATGGAGTCCAATTTCTCTATTTTTTTTTCATCACTTGTGCTTTTGGCATCATATCCAGAAGGCTTTGCAAACCATTTGACTTTAAAGATTGAAATGTACATATGTTAACTTCTGTCCTTGCAGCCACATGTCCTATGTGCCTTTGGCTTGATTTGGGGGGAAAGTGAACAAATTTGGTCAGAGTGTGCGTTGTGCGTTTACCTTGACCTGTGAACATTCAAACCTCCCTGATTTCGGTGTCTTTATTTATCCTTCTAAACAGAGCTTGTGCAGAGGCCTGGGCTAGGGGAGGGTATGCAGCTGAGAAAGAGGAGAGACGTCAGTGGGAGAGCAGAGAACAGAAGAAGATCACAGACAGCTTGGAGGCCTTGGCGATGATCAAGCGGCGTGCTGCAGAGAGAAGGCGGCAGAAAGCGAGCCAAGAGAAAGGTACGCGCAAGACCGAGGTGGTCCCCAGAGCTCTGTTTAGATGAGAAATCCAGGCTGTCGGACTCATAGCCTTTCATCTCTGGGATGTGGTGGGGGTTGGGGACCATTTGCTCACATACCTGCAGATCCGGTTGCACTTGCCTCTCCACGCTGCCAGGGGCCGTGAAAAACCCCAACAAGTATGTGCAGTTTCAAACCACTTCTACTGATTAAAACACAATTTGTTAAAATAGCCTCAGTTTCCCAAAATAAATGATATATTAGTTTTCTATGACTGCCATATAGCAAGTTGCCATACATTTAGAAGTCTAAACAACACAAATTTAGTATCTTACCACAGTTCTGGAGCTTGGAAGTCTGACACGGGTCACACTGGGCTAAAGTCAAGGTGTCAGCTGGGCTGGGTTCCTTCTAGAACCTTCTGGGGAGAGGGGGACCAAATATGGCTGCTTGCCGCCCAAAAGCCAACAGCCGAGAGACAAGTGTTGGGTGGAAAGGAAAGTTCGCTTTATTCAGGAAGCTGGCAGCCTGGGAAGACGGTGGACTAAAATGTTCAAGGACCATCTTCCAAGTTTGGGACCCAGCAGAAGAATTTCAAAGGGGAGGGAGTGGAGGGAGCATTCCAGGGACCTGAGAGAGAAGTCTGTGTTTCTTTAGTCACAGATAACACTTTTTCACATCAGACTCCTGGGCGCCAGCCGCTGGTCACAGCTACCTTGTGGAGACATTCTTTTCTTCTGCAAAACAAACTCAAATTATCCTGGAGACCCTGAAGTTATCTCCTCCTGCTTGACAAAGAAACAGCCCATCAGCAACACAAAATTATACTGTGAGAACAAAGGAGTTGAGCAAGAAGAACGGTTAACATGTGAACAAAGGCCTAATTAAGAATTAAATTATTTAATTCTAGCTGCCAGAATGCCAGGGGCATTAAAATTACAAGGAGCTAGGCTACTGCAAGTCCACTTTCAGGTCTGGCGTCAATGCACCCCTCCCTGCCCCACCCGATCTACTGCCCTGAGACTGGGTTCAGAGCCTCCTGCTTGTGCCCAGAGCCCCTGGCCAGCATTTGGTAGCAGCATCTAGTGAGGGAGTGAGTCCTGAGACTGTCCCGGTCCAACCTCAACGAGAGCCTGTGGGATCCTGGGGACGGAGCTTAGGGCACCTTAACAAGTAAGAACCCCCTTCGCGGTTCTACACCCAGAAGAGCCAGAGTCCCCATGTGTGTTTTTAAATGACATATTGCTTTTCGTCTCATTACAAAATGTGAATACACTACATACACATAGGAAACATAGAAAAGCATAAGTAACATAATTACAGCAATAGCCACTCATCATTTCATGTGGGTATTTCCTGGCTTTTCCTCATGCATGTAACATATTTTTTAAACTACCGTGTTTTCCCGAAAATAAGACCTAGCCAGAGAATAAACCACAGCATGATTCCTCCAGGATATGGAGGGCATGCACCCCTCACATGAGGGTTTTATTACCTGTTTCAGGGAGAAGGGTGCCTTTTCCACAAACTTCTTCAGCTTAAACTATTCAGTATGCCAAGGTGCCATATTTTGGTACCTAAAATCATGCGAGGGCTTATTTTCCGGCTAGGTCTTATTTTTGGGGAAACAGGGTAGAAAAATGGCATAATGATATTTGCCTACTCTTTTAAATTAGCATAATATATTTTCCATAAAATAAATGTTCCCCTACAGCATGTTTTTCCCCCTACTTTTTATTTGTATACTTTTCAAATTTTCAGAAAAGCTTAAAGCATAGGAAAATGAAAAGCAGTTGTGTCTAGATCAGATGGTTTTTAACGCTTACACACACACATATACACAAACACACTTTCCTATTCTGTTGAACCATTAGAAAGTGAAGGCAGACACTGTGGCCCTTAAACCCAAATACTTCCAAGTACATCTCCTACGAACCTCCTGCACTTTCTTTTTTTTTTTTTATAGCTGAGCCATCCTGCCACTTGTTGGCAGCTCAGCGGCAGCTCAGCTCGGGCCGGGAATCGAACCACTAGTTGCTCAGATGAGTGAGCTCTTAACCAACTGAGCCACTCGGCCGGCCCCCTGCACTGTTTTCTAAATGGCTGTGTCCGGATGTTGTAAGCAATCCCTCTCCTGGACTTTTAGCTCCATTTATTTAGCAATCATAAACAATGGTTTGATGAACACCCCTGTGGGCAGTTCTTTACTGGTCCCTGACAGTTCCCCATGTTCGCTGAGTGTCCCCGAGAGACGAGGTGTGCAGATGCCTTGTCCTCCCAGGGTGCTTCC